TGCCACTGGCCATGTCCCCGACAGAGGGGGTAGGCAGTGAGAGGTCACTGACTCCATAATCCACTGCTGTAATATAAGGTGACAGTTTGCAGGGGAGCATGGAAAGGGCCTCACCCAGGTGTGTGACAGGGTAGACATTCCTCTGTGGACCACAGACCAGAACTCCAAGGCTATGGCTGACAACCCGGGGCACCTTCTCACACATCCTTCTCCTTCTTTCTCTCCTCCAGAGTACAACAGAGTGTCAGTGATAGTAGGGGACACCTCTGTGCTCCCCTGCCCTCCCAGTTCAAATATCACTTTGATAACATGGAAAATTAGCCCCAAGGTTGGAGTATCTTGCACCTTGGGGTACAGGACTGATAGGAAGTGGACAAACAGAACAAACTGCCATGACAGCATCAACTGGAAATCCACACCGGATCAGGATCCTGCCCTTGAGATACGGCAAGTGGGAACAGCCCATGAGGGAAACTACACCTGTGAAGTAGCAGCAACAGAGGGGAATTTCCACGAGACCTACCACCTGACTGTGCTGGGTAAGTGACTCCTTCCTCGTGTCACGGTGCTGAGAAATTCCACCCAACCTGGCATGTTCTGATCCAGAGAGTAGCAACAGACCCATTTCCTCTTATGCTGGTATTCAAATACTCCAAAAGCCAGATGTACGGTGGCTGCTTAGGACAAAAGTCTAATTCAGGCCTGTATTTGGGGTAATTCCTCACCTCAACGTCCAGGGAAACCTCCTCTAATGGTGCCAGGCTGTGGTAACTCACCCAAATGAGGCAGAGTTGTCCAAAAGGAAAAACAAAGGGTGAACTTTGGCTCTTGTGCCTCTGGCCCATGTCGCAGTGATGGGACAGCAGCTCTGACATCCTCTTTTCACCGTGTCCATTTTGGGTAGGGGACAAATCCACCCTAGGCCCGGTGTGGGGAACTAACTCCATGCCTCTGCCCCCCCCTGAGGCTCTTGCAGCCCCCCCCAGGCTGGTCCTGCACTGCGACGAGCACGGGAACCCCGTGTGCCAGGCGGTGGCAGGGAAGCCTCCCGCTGGCATCTCGTGGGCCCCCGAGAGCAGCTCTGCCCCCCGGGAGGAAGGCCACGACAACGGGACGGTGACCGTGCTCAGCACCTTCACGGCCTGCAGCACCAACGTGACCAACGCCACCTGCCTCGTGTCCCACCCGACTGGCAACCAGAGCAAGCTCATCACCTGCCACCCCACGGGTGAGTCTCCCTCTCTGCACAGCCTCCTGTGCACACTCTTCTCCTTTCTAGGAAAGAAAAGCTATAAGAGTGATGGAAACAGTCAGTCGTGTCCTACAGAGACCACAGCACTGTCCCAGAACACAAACATAGAAGCATAAAATGGTTTGGGTAGGAAGGGACCTTAGAAGGTCATCTAGTCCAATCCTCCTGCAGGTTGCTCAGAGCCCTGTCCAACCTTACCTGGAATGTTTCCAGGGATGGGGCATCCCTGGAAATATCCAGCAGGTGCATCTCACCACCACCAGTGGAATCACAGACAACACAGAATCCTTTAGGTTGGAAGAGACCTTTAAGATCATCCAGTCCAACCATCAAGCCAACACTGCTAAGTCCTCTGCTAAAACAGAATCAGAATCTGTCAGGGCTGGAAGGGAGCACAAGGATCCCCCAGTTCCAACCCCTCTGCCATGAGCAGGGACACCTCCCACTAGATCAGGCTGCCCAGAGCCTCCTCCAGCCTGGCCTTAAAGACCTCCAGGGATGGGGCCTCAACCCCCTCCCTGGGCAACCCATCCCAGGGTCTCACCACTCTCATGGGGAAGAACTTCTTCCTCATCACAAGCTTGTTTGGATTCTAGACACTATTTCCTAATGGTTCCCTCCCTAGAAGGAATATACATGAGGATGATCATTTCCTTCTGTTGGTAAAAGTGTTGTTGGAGACAGAGATAAAGCAGCCATGATCTTAGTGTTAAAATAATCACTCTTCAGCAGGCCAGCAGCAAAACTTTTTTAGATGCAAACATGAAGTGTCTTGCTCAGATTATGGCAAGGGAGAGAAAGAGAACCAGCTCTTGTGTGGCCAGCAGAGACAAATCATTCTGAGTCATGAATATCTGACACTATATGACATTTGGTTTCTGGTTTTTGCTTTCATTAGTGACTTTCCTTC